TGTGGCTTGTGTAAACACGAACCGAACCCTCCCTTCATTGACGTGTTTCTTGCCTGTCTGAACAGAGAGTGACCGCAGCTGAATGCTCGGTCGTCGCATCCACCTCCAAACAGCACCAGCAGGAACGCCGGCGTCCGTGCACCTGCTCTCTTCCCCTCCGTTACAATGAGTCCAAATCCAAGTGTGAGAAATGAAAGCGGAATTGAACACTCAAACAATACAACACAAGCTAGTCTTCATTGTGCTTTAGAAATATTTGCCAAGTACTTGCACATATATTATCTCAGTTGGTCAAACAATGCTTGGGGTGTTATTTTCATATCTCCTTCCGAGACGAGGAGACAGAAGTTGAACGCATACATCCAAATAGCTCAGCAATGTATGAAAAGGTGCTCACCCTCATTAGTCATGAGGGAAAAGCATTAAAGCCACAACGAGGCACAACCACACACCATCAGAACAACTCGAATGGAGAAGACCGACTGCCCACTGCAGTGGACGCACTCGTGCCGAGAGCAGCCTGGTTCACTGATGTTTGGCAGCATCAACTCAAGTGGAACATGACCCATGGCCCCGTGACCCAGAAACCCTGGTTCCCAGCGTGTATCCACAGAAATGGGCTGCAAAGAACGTGAGAATGCTCGCAGCAACATTATTCCTAAGAGTTGAAACTGAGAATAACACAAATGTCTATCAACAGAGGAGGATAAAAAAGTTCTGGTAAATTCATACAATAGATACTATATGGAGAAAAAAATGAGTAAACCAGTGCAACACGAAACGTGATGGTCTTACCAATAAAACTTAAGTGGAAGATGGCAAACATTAAAGTATTCATTACGTGATTCCGTTTACATTAAGCAGGCAAAATTAATCTATGATAATAGACGTCAGGACAGTGGTTACCTTGGAGAGAAGGCTGGGTAGGAGAAGTATGTGAGTTGGAGCTTGAGGGGCTTCTGGAGGAGGCTGTCTTAGACTGCTCAGGCTTCTGTATGGAAGGAACCACCGTGGACTGGGTGGTTTAAACAACAATCACTTCTCACAATCTGGAGGCTGGCCAATTCGAGATCAACGCACCAACAGATTGTGTCTGGTGAGAATCCACTTCCTGATACGCAGACAACCTACTTCTAGCTGTGTCCTCACATTACAGAAGTGGTGAGAGAGTTCTCTGGGGTCTTTCATGAAGGTACTAATCCCATTCATGAGGACTCTACCCTCATGATCTAATTTCCTCCCGAAGGCCCCACTTCCTAATACCATCACACTGGTGTGGGATTTCAACATGCAAAATTGGGGAGACTCAAGCATTCAGTCCATAACACTGTTCATATCTATTTCTTGATCTGAATGGAGGGTACATAGGTATGTTCACTTTGTGATAATTCATTAAGCTACATACTGAAATAATCTCCATACTGTTCTATAGGTAGGTTATACTTTAATAAAAGTTCATTAAAATTTTTAAATGATACTATCATATAAAATTATTGCCCTTCTAAATGGAAAATATGTGTGTTTATTTCCATTCATGTAATGAAACAAGCCTCTGAGGTGATAAGTACTGTGATCACCTCCATGTTATTAATGAGGAAATCAAGGCACACAAAGTTAAACACCCTGCCCAACGTCCTACAACCAGTCGGTGGTTGAAAAGGATGGGGACCCAGGCGGTCTGGCACCAGAGAATCCCTTCCTTCTCAAACTAGCATTTGCTGCTTCTGCAGCACATCGCCTCCTGGATGCTCAAGGGTTTGAAACACGACTCACAGCTGGATCTAATCCAGGAAGCACACTGAAACCCAGTGAGGTGGTTCACTAATGCCTGCCGTTCACGGCTGCTCTGCAAAATCAGGCCTCCCCAGGCAACGGGTCTGCTGACTTTGGCCGACAAGTTGGGGCCACTATTGAGATGCATGTCAACTGTCTTTTCACTTTATTCATTTATGCAAAATGTTTTACATACTCCAGATGTTGTTGCAACTCATTTTCTACACCTTTGGAATTTTAAGTTTAAAATTAGAAATAAAAGCGAAAGCATAATTTAGGAAAACAAAAACCTAAGGATAACATTCCTTATAGTTTTTTCCTTAAATGTGCTCAAATTCTTTACAGATTACTACAAAACTCTACTTATACTTCCTATTTTATATTATTTTTACTCTATGATTCTAAGAATGCCAGTGTTCAGAATTCTGTAAGTTAAGAACGATGAAGGTAAGTTGAGATCTATTCTACCACCAGCAGAACACACTCTATTCTCGTTCTCTCATCTCCAGCCCAGCTGGAAAATAGGAGAATTATAAAATATATGATAATGCACTTCATGTGAATCTAATTTAGTAAGTGGACTATCTTGCAAACACTTAGATGTCAACAGTCTGGCAGAGGAACTCCATTTCACAGGTAACAAACAAATGACACAGTAATCATCAAGGCACCTGTGCTACGCCCCGATGAAAATCAGCATGTGGGCTAATAGTCAAGCAAAATAAATGTAAGTTCCAGCTATGGCTGACACTGTGAGTGGAAATATATGTCAGTCCATCACGTTTGTCTTGAATGATGGTGTTTATTACTTGATCAGCAGAATTAGCTCAAATACCGGCAACAAGCAGCCGCCAGCGTCGGCTAATGTCAGTCGAACAGCCTTTTGTAATTTTCGGTCTCAGTGCCTTCTATGGGGCTAATCCCCTTATTTAACAAGGAAATCAATAACTTGGAAATAATTAGGTTTGGGCTCTTGGGAACGTACTTCTGGGCAGGGCCAGGGTCCGACTTGAAATAATTGCTGCCAGAACTACGTCCAGGTTCCCTGCAAAAGCAAATCAATTCGTCTGCACCTTCTGTAGTCGAGAACACTATTTTGTTCTCTGAGATTTGTGAAACAATGCCAGGACTGAAAATACCCATTACAGCCCTACGCTTTTTAACTGGCTTCGAAATTTCAATTTTTGGAAAATGTGCTGCGAGCCGAGGCTTGCATTCGTCTTCCTGATATAGCATGAGGAATACCTCCCACAGACCTTTCCCCACCTAGGCTGACAGCCCATCTCAAACAGCCTGTGCAAGCACTGGGAATTACTCCATAAGGTAAAGTCAAAATTTTTGAAGAACCAGTTTTTTTTATCCTCACCCGAGGACATTTTTGCTTTTATCTTGAGATAGAGCAGGAGGGAGAGAGAGAAGAGAGAGAAACATCGACGTGAGAGAGACACATTGAGTGGTTGCCACCCACATGACCCAGCCAGGGCCGGGATGCAACCGAGGTACGTGCCCTTAGCAGGAACCGACCCGGGCCTCTCTGGTCCGCGGGCCGATGCTTCAACCACTGAGCCAAACCGGCCAGGGCGAAGAAACAGTTTTTTAAAAAATGGCTCTGCAAGTGATTTTTCATTCCCCTCCTAATATTTTTACAAAATAAAAATTTAGGATCAGCCACTAAGAAAAGACATTTATAAAAACAATGAAATGATTGTCTTGGCAGATTTAATCCCTTGATGGTTCTTGATTATTCTTAACACCGAATTTCATTAGACACTAAAAGTTCAGCATTTTATTACAGTTGCCTGTCCTCTGGGTACTCTGTGGTTCAAGTAGTTTAAAGAGCTGTGTCCATGGTATTTACAGATTTTAATTGGTTTGAAAATCACTGGGAGGAAAATGATTCTTCCTTGGAAAGGAGTAGCACGAAGGGATAAATGAATTAATAAATAATTAGGGAGCCACTGATAATGTTCCTACTTAATGAAAACAAGGTGCTTATGTAGACAGAAAAGTCAACCCCAAACACTTCCTTCATGGCTGGGTGACTAGGGACTTCAGTGACTGGGCAATTCTTCAGTAGCACTGGGAAACTGAAGATAAGTAGCTGATAATACCTTACCGTTTATTTGTGAGTCAGAAGGAAAAGTCTTAGCTAAAACAAGGTTGCTAACTACCTGAGCCATAATGAAAACAGACAATCATCCTATACTACTAAGACAAAACTTTATACATGTGAACCTCAGAAGGCTATTGCCATTATACTTAATAATGAAAAGCTTCCACATTGAGTTCAGACCACATTTCTTTTTAAAAATCTTTAGTTTTCATTCATGAGTTCCTTAGTGATAGGTTCGGATTTCCTGTGTCTTCATATATCTTAAGAGCCAACAAAATATATCAGATACTCTACTCAACAGCATCAGAATAATGACTCTCAGATAAAGTTTAATATCAAATGGTTTTGGCATATATACTACCCCACAGAAATGTTAAGAGTATTAGATGATACACTCAAAAATTTTAGTCTTTTCCACATAATAAATATCCATCTAATCCTTGTTATCATAGACAACTGTGTACCTCCAATGGAAATAAGACCTTCTGGTATAGATTGATTAAAAGTTTACTGAGTACCTACTGTACACCAGCAGGTGTATGATAGCGACATTCTAGTTAAGACAAGATGCACCTAAAACAACGTTATTTGGTATTTAGAGCACATATTACAAACTGTAACACATGTAACTTGTTAGAGATGAAAGGTAAAAAGCATACAGAAGGCAGTAAGGACATTATTTTCCAGATATATGATAATATAACTCTATAATTTTCTTTTGTCTCCAATCATATCGTACTACCTTCAGCATCTTCGTGAAAGGAATCCCACACCTACTCTTCTCTAAGTCATGTAAGTGTAGGACTAATTGCTTCATTGTAAATTACCCAAATAATGTTTCATGCCAATCCATATGTTTAGTACACTACACCTTTTTTTCCTGCTACCTCCCAGAACTTTTACAGCTTAGCCTCTGAAATAATATCCTGGGGGCACTTACGACCCTTTTACCCCAAGTGAGTTAAATCATTGGATATTTCAATGGCATTTAAGGAAGGGCTTGCATCTGGCTGCATAGCACTTGTGGGTGGACTTACTAACCCCCACCAGCAGGAACAAGGCTGCTACTGATGATGAGAAATCAGAATTATTCAACCTCCAACAGAGAGCTTACCTTAGGATCAGCTGTGAGCAATTTGAAGGCTTGATATACTTGAGCTTCCTTCACGCCACCACCAAGATCCAAGAAGTTGGCTGGCTTCCCACCATTCAGGAAAATGATATCACAAGTAGCCATGGCAAGTCCAGCACCATTCACTGTAAAATGAAAATGGCATGCAAGACAGAATAAATTGAGCAAAACAAAAATGGTCCATAAGCTTTTTCCCTGTCATGATGGGCCTATTTCTGCCCTGTTTGGAATTCTGTTCAACCAGATTAAGTTAATAGATTTTTAGGATAAGAAACCCGAAAAATGTGTATACAAAGAATAACCAAAAAAGACCTGGGAATGGGAAGATGAATTTATCGAGAAGTTAAATCAACCTGGGCAATAGAAAGAAGGGAAGAGTTTAAATAAGTTATCAATTTGGGCTAGTTAGTAATAGAGGGGGGAGTTGTAGGTGCCCAGAAAAATAACTTTCAAGAGAACTGGAAAAGAAAGAAAAAAGCTATAAAAAATAACTAGGGCCTATGAATTACATTCTTTTTAATATCCTTTAAGAGACTTGAATGCAATTCTTTTATCTTTCTGTTTGCTGAGAATAGAGTCCTTTGAATATGGCTGAACCACAGGCAATCCAACTTTGATAGGTTTTTTTAAAATACCGAGTACAGCCATGCGTAATTGTATGTTACCTGGCTAAGGTCAGAAAACAAATGAACAAACGATAACTCAAGACAACATTCCCATACCCCTGTTCTTTTTTTCAAAATAATATAAAAAATGTTGACTAGCAACCTGATCATGAAAACTAGAACCAAAATATGCTAGCATCTTAGGAGCTTTCCTTTAAAAACCAAGTAAAGCGTTTTAACATTGAAATTCTTATTTTCCAGAACTAAGTTTTATTGATCAATTGTAGTTCTTTTGTTTCTTATGCTTAGTTATATACAATTATTTTCTTCAGGTTAGAAAGCAAAAAAAAAAAAAAAAAAAATCTCCTGAACTCCCTTTTTTTCTGACCCTTGAATTCCCCAATCGAACTGTGACTAACTTAATTAATTATGGGTCAACTAAAATAAAAACGGTTGATCTAGAACCTGAAAGCAATTTGAAATGTGTTGGGCTAATCTGGTCAAACCATGAACACTCCACAGAGGCTACAGAGAATTTGTATTTAATTTGTTCTAAACACATCTTTTTTCTTTTTCCTTTGTAAATGCCTAGAAATATTGAGAGCACATGAGTTCATCCAGATCAGAGACGAGAGTGATGTGGTATATGAGGGTGATGGCTCCAGTACCAGGCAAGAGCTCTTGTACCACTTGTAACTGGCTGTCACTTTCTATTGTATTGAACAGCAAACTACCGCATGAGGTTCGTTCAGTTGTTAATATAATGATACTGTTGGTTTAATGAGCTACAAATATTTTTTATTTTAATTCCATTAAGATTAACACCTCAGTTTCCAGCGTAATAAATTGGTTCCAGTGTAACACACAAGCGTATAAATCTCAGTACTGTAAACTGTGGACAATAACATAAGTTGTGTTGCCTCTATAGACACATTCTTATTGCAAATGAATGAGCCATTTTCACAAATTTAGATGAGTTTGATAAAATCAATTGTTTTATTAATAAGCTGGTATAATGGAGTAAACATTTTATTGTTTATCACGAGCTGAAACTTGAGCATAATGATGGAAGTATATGTTCTCTTCTCTTTCCTCGGAGAAAGCAGTTTTATCTGCACCCAAACTTCAGAACAGTTCCTACCATATTAAAACTGCCTGCAGTAGCAAAGGTCCGCTTTTTACTAAGCTAGTTTAACTCCAATGCCTTAAAACACTGGTTCTCTATTGGAGACACTTTGGTTGTCACAGGGGAAGGTGGTAGTGGCACCCAAAGCCAGGATACTGCTGAATACCTTACAATGTATAGGACAGTCCCCCCGCCCCCCAGTAAGGGATTGTCCCATCTGGAATGTCCATTGTGCCAGAGTTGAGAAACCTGCTTTAAACCAGTGCCCATGGACCAAAATCAACTTGGGAAGACACTTGGCATTATGTCCTAAGACTTATGGGTACAAAAATCTCTTATGTTTACTTGCTATTAGGAAATAAATTTCAGAAGTCAGGAGTTCCTAAATTCTGCAAAAATCCACAAATCATTCTTTTGCTATAACTGATTTCTCACCAAAGCAAGCAATGTTCCCATCCAGGCCTATGTATTTTAGATCATATCTGGCAGCTTCATTTTCAATGGGCTCGTTTTCTGATCTGTCATCCATAGCAAATATGTCCTTTTGTCGGAATTCTGCATTGTCATCAAAGTTTATCTTGGCATCAAAACAGACAACTGAAAAAAAAGGAATATACATGAATATATCTCCTAAGGATCTACATACTAAGTTCTAGGGCCTATAGGCAAAGGAAAAAGGAAAAAAAAAAAAACTAAGATGTTGTCACTCTACCTCATAATATAGAAAGGAGAAACCGTTGTGGCTTTCTTGACCTGAATTTAAATTGCACAGCTATGAAGACAAGTATGGAATGGTTCCTGTTCTCAAGAGAGTTACATTCTAACAAACAGCACAGTAATTTATATCTGTTGGTTTCTGTTCAATAAAATAACAATGTAAGTTGCTATCATCACCCATTAAAACTAGGGCTGCCAGCTACATGTAACTTTGATTAGCTATTCATACTATATGTTTAGTCATTAAGCACTGATCACCGTTCCTTTCTATGCAGAGACTAGAAAATAACACACAGCCCTGCTGTCCTCTTTCCTCTGGTGGTGCAAAATGACATTTTTATGTAATCTGTATCCTCATCAATGTTTCTGAAAGATGTAGTGGAAAGAACACTGGGTCAGACTCAATAGTTTTTATTTGTTCCTTAACTAACTGTGGCCTTGACAAAAATAAATAAATAGATAACCTACTTCCTCTCTGGGCCTGGTTTTCTTATTTAAGAAATGGAAATAATCCCCAGACTGCTGACACACTTACTTTGGGGTCAGCTAAACTGAATACCATCATCTTGATGTGTGAAGGGTATGACTGTTTGATTCAAGTTGAAAAACACTAAGAGACCAAGACTAGTCAGACACAGTGGAAGGCTGCCAGGCATGATCAGCAAGGCTGTCTCCAATCCCTGGTGCTGGTATGTATGTCTCTTAGCCCTTTCAGTGGCCAAGGGCCCTGGGCACAGTAAAACTCAGTGACAGGGATGGGCTGCAGAACGTGTTCCTTGATTGACAAGAGGTCTTCTGTATGTTCAATCAGGGGAGAGTGTAGTGGGTGATTTCTGGGGTCTGGTCCCTTTTTTTATCCTTGAGGGTAGAAATTAGTTATCTGTGATGCCATTCCATCACAACCTTCCTCTGCTTTACTTGGGACATGGATCTTTGACCGGTAATTCAGAGACGTTACTATTCTTCTCCAGGATTGCAGACAGGGAAACAACTACCCTGGCATATTTCAATCAAAAGCAATGATTATAGTGTCTGAATCCCTTTTGCTTCCTATGGAAAGAAGATATTGTTACATTACGACATCCTGGGGTTAAAGACGTAGGTAGTGGTTTTCCTCAATGGTCTCTCTACCACAATAATCAAGCACTTGATACAAATCTGTGCAGATCTGGCATATTAATATCTAAGAATACTCAGCTTAAACAAAGGTCCAAACCACAAATTACACTGTAGCACTGACAACAGAATTTTACATAGAAGTTAATATCTCTTCCTGAGTCAGTAGTCTTGCCACAAAATGTCCAACCGCCTTACCCAAACACTGTGAATACAAGCAGCAAATGAGTAATCACTTTCCAGAATACTGAAATCTTAATGATGGAATCTTGCAATTACCAAAGGAATTGGCCAATGCTCTCTGCTTGCTACAGTGGCATTTTCTCAGCAGTTAATGACCGGTGTAAAAATCAATAGGAAAGCAACTTCATTCTTGGCTTTCCACTGGGTTTATAAGTATATTTAAATTAATTTATTAGTAACACTAGCTCTTCCATTACTCATTGGCAAAGCTACTCATAATTGACAACTTTGAAATAAATGGGCAAAGGCAATCGAATTGATTTCCTAAGTGAAGAGTTTCAAATAAAAGAATTCTTGGTCAAGATCAATAAAGTAGTAAATCAAAGTAAGTCCAGGCTGATCTTTGCCCCTTACGAAGACTACATTTACAAGCACCTTGAGAGACAGCGTAATTAATGGATGAATAAGTATGCAAAGTTCAGGAGGCAGGCCCAGCTAACATTTCTGCCAGCTCATATTTTCAAGATGCTTTTCTCCTGTGGTATGATGTATACGCCAAGTAGAGAAATGAGTTCACTATTTGGGGGCCACCCTGGGAGATGTAGGCTTTGAGGGCGGCAACTCAGTTTTAGATTACCTTTCTTAACTCCTAAGAATTTTCACAAAGGATTTTAATGGCTGGCATTTCAAGCTTTGTAATTGACAGAGAAGGAAATTTTCTCCTAAAGGATGAGGATGAAAGAGATGCCTTTGTTGACCCTCAAATCACACTACACCTCTGCAGAAGGCCAAGGTGACTATAGATTGGTACGAAAAAGCCCCAAGTGAGAATGGAAGTCAGTGGGTGGTCCAGTGTGTCCCTCAGGTCAGCTCACTGCCTGTTTATACAAACAGGGTTTTACTAGAATGTAGCCACATTCTACTGAAATGAATGTAGTCAGTCACTTACGTATCTCTGGGACCCCTGAGAGCCCCACAGCGGAGGTGGACAGCTGCAAGCAGACTCCCCGCCCTTCGCAGAACAAGGCTGCCATCCGGCTAAGTCACAGTTCTCCTCACATCTGTACCCTGCTCTAACAATGGACATAGTGGCTCAGATATCATGTTTGTTATGGTGAAGGAAAAACTGAGAAAAACGCATCCTGCTAGCTTGAAAATAAAAATATATAACAAATACAATAAACAAAACCTCAGAGCTAGCACAAAAGTAGATGAATCCCTGAATATTGATTGATTCTTATATGCTTATTCCCCCTGTAAGGCCCCTCTAAGTGCAGCTTTTGAACTGGTGTGTTAAAAATGAACTGATGTCTATGTCAACATCAGGGCAATAAAATAACTTGCTTGCTCAAACCTTAGCTTTTTCACTTAATAAAACAACAAACTATGGTAAATGTATTTTTGGAGGTGCTCAGCTTGGTTCAGACATTACGATTTTCAATGTCACAATAATAAAACCTCAATTCTTTAGAAAATTCAACTTGAACAAAGGCCATTCTGTGTACAAAGTGGGTAAAAAAACACACCTATTAATATTTATAAAACAATTTTCACCATCAAAAAGCACATTGTTACATGCTTGATAGATTATACAAATGAATTTTTCTTCTGAACAAATATCAAAGAAAGCTGTGGCACTTATATTCATAGGGTGATTTTGTTGTTTTGTTCAGTGGTGTTAAGATTCTGTGAGCTGCTAATTCAACAACCTCCATGAAGAATGTTGACTGGCAGTTTGCAGCCTCTGACCCTAGAGTTTTAGCAGAAGAATGTACCATGGAATTAAACAAAAGAAAAATACATTTCAGAGGGGAGACTCACGCATAAAAGAAGCATAACAACAGCAGGAAATAAGACTGTCATAATTAGTTTGAAAAATAATCTGTCTTCAAGCAACGCACTGCATTTGATTTGTGATAAACAGCCAGAATGTGCTACCGAAATGTGCCCTGCCAAAGTGGCCTTAAAATGCTGATTCTTTCAAATTGGTCCCACTTTCCATTAAATATTGATGCTCCAAGAGTTGTATACTTTCTAGAACTTTTTTTAGTTGCTGTGAAGAGAGAAAATAGATATGAGGAGGGAGGGGTTTTAGGGTAGGTAGAGAACTAAAAATGTTCTTGTGTATAAAGACAGAAACAGAGAAACACCCACCAGCAACATGGGCACTTGCTAACACAAAGCATCAGGGTTGTTATTTTGGGAAATTAATCTGAGGCAAGAAAGAGATTTGACGTTCCAGTTAACTTTTTTTCTTGTTAATCCTCACCCGAGGATATTTTTTCCACTGATTTTCAGAGCGGGTGGAAGGGAAGGAAGGGGGAGAAGAGGGGGAGAAAAAGAGAGAGAGAAACATTTGGGTGTCTCCTGCACACACCCCGATGGGGCCAGGGATCAAGCCTGTAAACCAGGTATTCTTGACCAAGAATTGAACCCACAAACCTTTGGTGCTCAGGCCAGCAGTCTAACCACTGAGCTCCACTGCCCAGGGCTCTGGTTAACTTTAATTAACCTTGATTCTCATGTGATCTTGGCCAGATAGTCACTGTTTTAAATTGGGTTTCATCCCTTTAGCTTGGTAAACGGATCTGTGCTCTAAATGACGAAGATGTCCTAGAGCAGGACTTCTTAATGTGGGGACTACTGGCATGTTGGGTAGGAGCATGTCTGGTCAGGGGCTGTGCTGTGCACTACAGGGCATTTACCACATCCCTGGCCTCTGCCCACTAAAAACAAAATGGATGTTAACTAGACTCACTGTGGCGATCATATCAAATCACTACACTGTATACCTGAAACCAATATAATGTTATGTCAATTATATCTCTATTTTTAAAAAGTGTCTTTACATATTGCCAAATGTCCCCTAGGTAACAAAATCTGTCCCCACTGAGAAACATTAAAGCATGCAGGCAGAACTGGCTGAAAGTAGGAAGAACTGAAATCGCATAAAATATCCCAGTGGCTTGCAAAATAAATGAATGAATGGATAAGTAGACAAATTATAATAAAGGAAACCTTGCTTCTAACTTGGCCACAGTATGAATTAATTCTGGCACTGCAACTGGGCAAGCAAGGAAAACAGTTAAGTTCTCTTTGACTAGTGAACAATTTACTTCCATTTCAGCGAGTTAGGTCATCTGGTAGGCATGTTCTGACTCAGAGTCCCTTTCCACCCAGAAGCTGCCTTTCTCCTATACCATGTGAGTCCAGCTCAGTGACTGGTCTAGGCATGGACAGGTGACCCACGCAGGGCCAATCAGAGCCACCTGAAAGTTTGCCATGGTGGCTGGAGGAGCCGGGAGGACGGGCGCCATCCTGACTGCCCTCCAGCAGCCTGCTGCCAGGGCGGAGGGGTCACAGGCCGGCAGGGCTACAGGGCGGAACCACCCCCAGTCCATGCATAACTTCCCTGTCATAGGAGTGAAAGAAGCACCCCTCCCCCACCGGGGCTTGCTCACAAAACTAGGCTGATGGAGGTTTCCATCTCTAATAACCATTATAATCCTGATAGTCACTGAACAAATCATATTCTTTGAATCAGATTATAAATCACAGTGGAATAAACCGTTCGCAGGTGCTGTTCTTTCTCGACGTCAAAGATGTCCCAGGCTGAGCAGCGGCAAAGGGATTTCAAGGCCGCTGCTCTTTCAACCCGGAACCATCTCAAGTGTGTGGCCAGGCACCTGGGTCTTTAAAAGTGTTTCTCACTGAGCAATGGAAGACAAAAGAAATTCCCTTACGAAGACGCTCATACAATGAATAAGACTAAAGTAAAAATTGGTTATGATGCCTAGCTCCTTCAACTTCTAAATTTAAAAAGTCATTATTAAATTAAAGTTTTGTTTTTGTTTTTTGTTTTTTTTTTGTTACAGCAGGAGGGAGAGAGGGACGAAGAGAGAGAGAGAGAAACATCGATGTGTGAGAGACACATCGAGTGGCTGCCACCACACCACCCCAACCGGGGCCGGGGACAAACTGCAACCGAGGTACGTGCCCTTACCGGGAATGAACCTGGGACTCTCTGGTCTGCGGGCGGACGCTCTAACTGCTGAGCCAAACCAGCCAGGGCTAAATCAAAGTTTTAATGTGAAAGGTTATATGCTCTGCTATTACTGATCTAAATGAAAAAATTAAATATTAAGATTATCAATATTGCTAAGATATAAATGATTGCTTTTACAGCTCCTAAATAAGGGACTGCTTTAGGGGATTGTGGCAACGATGAAGATCAATTTGTACATTGGTCATTAATCACCGCTTCCTAATTGGGTTTAATTTGACTACTGCTCATTAGGGTTATAAACCAACATACTCATTTAATTGTGATTAAATTCAATAGCTGAACTTTTATGGTACAATGAACAAATTAATAGCTAAAGATAATTTTGCTCTTAAAAGCATCACATAAGAGTTAAGTTTTAATGAACTGTAAACACAAAATATATTTTATGATGAGTCCTTCTAAAAAGCTCCAGAATTTTTCTTTCTTTTAATAATTATAAAGAAACCTTCAGATTTCACAAGGTTTTGAAAACACCACCAGGAAAGCTTCTCACACCCCTGTCCCTGTTGCCTGACCCCAACCTGTGTACTGACACCTTCCCAAAGGCCTGAATGAAAATAGTATCACAGCTTAATTTTTCTCTCTGTCCATGGCTGAATTTCCATTTTTTAAAATATGAAATAATCAGGTTGCTTGTGCATACCAGTTTGAAAAGCAGTGTATGACCTTTAAGATCGCATGTTGAATTTCATCACTTTCATTTCTTGGATTTAATTATCAGCCACTCAGTGCAGCATGAATTTTGACTGACAGTCCCAAACTGGGACTACTTCTAGATCAGTCAGATGAAAGCAAAATAACAGTTTAAGAGGGAAAAAGAAAAAAAAGGCAGGTCACTATGAGTCAGTATGGCATATTAAAATCAACATACACACTGTACTGAGAGAGACAGGTTCGAATCCCATAACTGCTCTTGGGGGAGTCACATGAAATGTTCAATCCTCCATAAAATGAGAATAACACTCCTAACTTTGCAGGGTTGATGCAAGTAATTAAAAAAAAAAAAAAAAGAAGTAAAAGTTTATCATAGTGCTTCACATAAGAGTTTTCCCCCCTCCCCTTCCTGTCTATATGATGTACTGATGTTTCCAAAGCCAGAGGGAATTTTAAAAATATTTATGAATAAGGTAGTTAGTTTATAAATGACCTACCACAGATTTTTATCTGGTGGGCACCTGTGTAAATCATGAACTATATTATTTTCAATGACTTTTTCAACATGAGTCCTTTGCCTATTCTAATTTGAAGTGTTAAAAAAAAAATAGACAAAAACATAAAAATCTATCTACACGCTTCCCGGACGACTGCTTTACTTGAGAGGAGGACACCTTTTATGAATGTCGGTAACTGACAGGCTCCGTGTCTGACACTGGATGCTCACACAGACACAGTCACCTCATTCTGACAACTACCCTTTCGGATTAAAAAAAAGAAAGAAAAACCACCCCTACCACCACCACCGCCGCAAGGCTTAGCCCAGATCTGTGTCCAGGGCATGGCAAATCCCAAATCTGAACCCGGGCCACTCCGTGAAACACTGAACACCCTTCCAAATTACCACTCGCACAAGGGTAACCGACAGCACCTTGGGGAGGGCTGAGCAAATAACAAGGTACTGGGGCAAAGGTCTACTAGGGGGCCTCTGCCCAGTGATCTCATCATGAGCCCCTCTCTGAGCTAGGGCACAGTGTACTCTTATATTCTTGACAGAATTCAGGGTGTCTGGGAAGGGGGGAGTTGGGAAGGGGTATTCACTTTTGTCTCCTTTGTCCTTTTGTTCAGAGTTGTAGCAGAGAGCTCTGAATTAAAAGCATGAAAACACACACACACACACACACACACACACACACACACACACACACAGCCCCATCTACCGTGGTCTACAACTTGGCTGTATTTGCACATTATAAATCACCTTATCTTCCAATCAAATAGCAAATATCTATTTACTGACTGTCCACATTCTAGGCAGCGTGCAAGACTTTGGGGGTGAAAGGTACTAAAGAAGACAAGTTTCATGGAATGTACTTTCTGGTGTCATTATCTTATCCACCTGCTACCCACCTCTACCCCAAATCACACGCACATACACCAGCTTTGGCTATTGAATTATTAAGAACTTATTGAATATTTTCTATATGCAGGACAAAGTACAGTAGTGGTGGGTGCTGAGATATAAAAGTTATTTATACTCCACAAGCATCTGATGGATAAGAAAAACCTCCCCAACAAAAATGCCTCCTTCTCCCATCTAAAGTGGAAGCTCATAGTCAAGTAAGGTGATGAGTTGGATGGTGGGGCACCAGGGGCTCCACCATGATGATGTATATCCAGCAGGGGCCACAGGGAAATTTATGCGGATACAGGTAAACTGAAAAGCGTCCAGCGGGTCACAGAAGCACGCACGTTCGTTTCACCCAAGTGCAGTGACTCGTTTCCACCTAAATCTTTCCATAGTGATGGGCCTCAAAAAATAAGGGGTGCTGGAAGATGGATGTTTCTAAATAAGGCAAGAAGTAGCTTCCTCTGAGGCTTGGACTTGGCTACGAACAAACACAAGTGCTGAAATATTCAGCTGCTCCACAGGAGCACTGAAACTATGGCAGAAATTAAATCACTGAAAGAAATTCACACAAAGCTGCTGCTATAGTCTTTTGTATAATTTAATTTATAGTTTGCATAAATAATTATATTCATTTGTTTCTCTTATTTATTTTTACCTTGTCCTTCTGTAGTTTCACCAAAGGGGTTCACTTCCACCTGAGTAGCATCAATTTTCAGGAAGAGGTTATACAGCTTCTTAATTTCATCTGCAGCCTAAATGTGATCAAGTGAAATGAAATTACACCAATGTAGTAAAAGAACATTTATTCTGCTGGATTAATGAAACCTTAAAAATTACATGCTATGTCTTTATTTTCAGTTAGGTTTTCTGAAGGGAAAAACAGAAAAGCATATTTTAATTTCCACTGCTATTTATTAGAAAGAATTGCTCAAGTTTCCTCCAGACACCAGAAAAGACCATTATCAAGAAAACAAAATATTTTCAGTATGGCTTAAAAATGCTGTTAATCTTTCTGTAAATTATCATATCCCTATTAGCCAAGCTACGCCACCATATGAGCTACAATCATTAATATAGAAAAGCTCCATTTAAGTAAAAGGTAAACATGATTTTGAGAGTTTATAATGAGTAGGTTTTCCTAATTATGCTGGAATAAAGTAGTTATTATATTCATCAATTCAAACCTATAATCTGTGAAACAACAATTACTGAGTCTAATGGAAACTGCTGCAGGAAAGGAAGATGAAAGTCCTAACAGTACAGTGAATGAACAGCACAATTCAAACTGAAAACAGGGTGTCCACAGAGAGCAAGAATAACCCACGTTGCCCAGATGTTATGCCCTGACTTCATTTTTCTCACTCTGCTTGAAGTTTACTGACTCATTCATTCTTTTCCACCAGGATTTATGAACTGCCTGAGTCCCAGCACGCTAGCCCTGTGTGAACTAGGGCTCGGGGAAGACATCGTGAATGAGGCATGACACCGCCCTGGAGAGCTCACACCTGCAGTGGCACAGCCTGGGATGCCACACGGCAAGACTGCAATCATGGCTGAATGGCGGCCACCAGTCTCGTTCTCGGCTCTGTCTCATTTCCTAGCCATGACTTTCCCTTTGCTGCGTTTGTGCTCATTGTTCCAGCCTGAGTCATCTGTCCTTGGAAACACAGCTGGCGTTTTTCCATCTCTACTCTGTATATCCAGAGAGCTGACTCTTGAAGGCCCAGTTTCCAAGGCTCTGGGCTCAGCTCAGCCAGTGGGAAGCAGCCAGGAGAGCCAGGAGGTAGGGGCGGGAGGGGGGTGCAAAGCTGGGGTGTTTCTTCCCCTCCCTCTCCTTGGGCAGCATCTCCTGCTCTGACTTCAGCTCCCACCAGACAGGCCCACCAGGGCTCCAGCTTCTGTCTCCAGTGTCCAGTAAGAGGGCTGCCTCACCTTGCTCCCCGAGCGTGCAGGTAGCAACCCTGCCTGTTGTCGATGAGCTCTATCTACTCTGCCTCTGCCCACTCTGACATGTCTCGGCTCGGACATCTATTTACCTGTGTAACCAAGCATGCACGTTCTGCACTCATCTTTTTTAAAAACACCAATTTGGTTCTATACCTTCTGTCTTTACTCAATAGACTTTAGAGAGCTTTCATCATCAACACAAGTAGAACGAGCTTATTCTTTGAAATGCTGCATGATCATTTAACCTGCAATTTAATAATGGCTACTTGGTTTCCAACAGTTTGACATTCCTTCCAATGCTGCCTACCTACCTTTGCATGTACATCCCACGTGTGATTAAACACCTGTAGGACAACTGCTCGGGATTGGAACAAAGAGGGATGTGGGCATTTTAATAAAAAAAAAAAATTATCATAAATTGTTCTCGGTAAAGTTTGCCAGTAATTTCTCCTCCCACAAAAGAGATTGTTCTAATCACATCAGCTATCTGCTTTCCTGGTGTGCCAGGTGAAAATGTATCTTTTGTATGTAGTTTTAACTTAAATTACTCTTATTAAGGAGTGAATTTGAGTATTCTATGAGCTTAAGAGACATTTGTATTTCCTTTTCTTTGAATTCTGCCCATTTTTCTGTTGAGATTTCAGTCTTTTTTCTTATTAATTTACATTAAGGTGTTTTTACTTGATGGAAATTAGCTCATTATTTCATATCAAATGCAAATATGTTTCTCCTTTATCTTTTGCCCATGTTTTTGTTACTTCTGACACCTGGAAATCTGATAATGGCACTCTTTTTTATAGCTTCTGACTTTGTGTGAGACTAAAAAGGCTGGACCCACTTCAGTGTTAAAACAATCCTCCCATAATTTTTTCAAATACTCTTTAAAATGTCCTTTATTTAATGTTTACTTTTAAAAAATCCAAACAGATTTTATTTAAGTTACTGTGCAAAGCTGGTTAAGTAACACACTGCTTACTATTTTTGTTCTTGTAAGGGTTTATTTTATTTATTTATTGAAATATGTTTTTATTGATGTTTTAGAGAGAAGATAGGAGTGAGAAACATTGATCGGTTGGCTCCTGCATGCCCCTCACTGGGGATCAAGCCTGCAACCCAGGCAGGTGCCCTGACTGGGAACGGAACAGGATCTCCCAGTTCACGGGGTGACGCTCAGTCCACTGAGCCACACCGGTGGGCCTGTAAGGGTTTTCTAAGTAATCCACATGCTTGCAATGGGGGCTTCATAGAGATGCACGCTGCCTGTCCTGAACACCTAGCAGCCACTCTGCCTACGCAGACCCTGCACAGGGCCGACACTCAGTAGACATTTCCTGAAGCAGTGATTCCTAATGAGAAACCACATAACAGAAATAACTTCTGGGTGCATAAATATGTAAGGTCTTATCCCAGCTACTGTGAAACTTTTTTTAAAAAAAATAAACATACCATAAAATTCATGACTTCAACCATTTTTAAGTGTTCAGTTCAGCAGTGTCAAGTATATTTACCTTTTTGTGCAAACAAGCTCCAGAACTTTTTCATCCAGCAAAACTGAAACCCTATACTTATTACACAATAATCTCCCAGCCCGATGCCTGGCAACCACCAATCTACTTTCTGTCACTGAGACTTTCACTGTCCAGATACCACACATCGATGGGATCATACCCATTTGTCTTTTAGTGACTGGCTAATTTCTTTTTTTTTATTTTTATTGTTTTATTTTATTGATTTATTGGGGTGACATTGGTTAATCAAATTATATAGGTTTCAGGTGTACAATCTATAATACATCATCTCTATATCGTACTGTGTGTTCACCACCCCAACTCAAGTCTCCTTCCATCACCATTTATCCCCCTTTATCCTCGTCTACCTCCCTCTACCTCCTTCCCTCTGGAATCACCAAAGCACTGCTGTCTGTGCCATGGGGGTTTTTCTTTTCCCTTTGCCTAATCCCTTTATCTTTCTCACCCACTTGTCTTTTTCTGACTGGCTAATTTCACTTAGCGTGATGTCCTCAAGGCTCAGGGAGCTGAACACCTGTCATAATCTCCTTTTCCAAGGCCAAACAACCTTCCAGTTTATGTATTTACCATATTTTGTTTATCTATTTGTCAATGGACACCTGGGTTGCTCCAAAACTTCTTAAGCCTGTATTAACTTAGCTTAGTGGTCCAGAAGCCTGAGTCTTCTGCACATCACTGCCATTGTAGTTATACATTCACACAGCACTTATGCAGGGCGGGGTGTCTTCGCTGTTGTAATTGTATATCCTGGTACAAAGACGAACTATAAACATGTTTTGGGCAGGGATGAAGAATCAGGAAATCTTACTGTAAGACTCCAGGACAGCGCCAGCCGGAGTGGATGGAGACAAAGCGTGCCTCACTCCAGAGGCGACACACTGACTGCAAGGGGGGCAGGCGATATGCCAGTCTGGCCGGGTGTCAAACAGGAAATGGCAGGGCCTGTGGCAAGTTGAGGTTAGCTTTCCTGCTTTCTAAATGTGTTCAAATTTTAAAAATAAATCAACACTAGTCAAAGGAAACCGTCTGCTGGAACTTAAAACCAGCCAGTTTGCTGCTGCCACCTGCTACCTCAGTTCACAGCACACTGTGCAGAAAAAGCATTTTCTTCCCTTTTTGCGACCAGTTTATGTTATTTTAAGGTTGTTTGTTAAAACCTAAAAGTTAAGGTTGAAACAAACAATTAAAAAGTTAAAATACCTAAATTCAAATAAACTTGAGGTCATATGCCTCATACCATGACAATTTATAAGTGTTTTTAAAAATGTTTTAACAGGTTAAAATTTTTTTCAATACTTTTCTTGCATTCCAGAAACAAATATCATCAACATTCACACAGGGCCCCTACAGCCAGCCAGCAGAGGTACAAAGCACTCCTACGTGCCTGTGGGTGGGTTTTAACTTGGCCCATTGGATCACTTCATCAGCATCAATCTTACAGGCTCAAGTTGACATTCCTGGTGCCGATGTTTTCAGAAATGAATAGCACAGACGATAACTAGGACGCACTTGGGGAGCTTGTGAATTTGTGGTCACGTCCAGTTGTCCCGTGGCTTCAGTAGTCTTTTCAACCAATTCTTGCTGAAGTGGATTTCCATCAGGAACACATACTTGGTAGTTTTATGCAAGGTGGTATTTATTTTTAGTAAAATTTAGATGATATTTTAGACACAACAGGCATGAGTCACAGGACAGATATAATTAAATTTACAAGATAATAATTTTATATGTTGTTCATCCATGAGTGAGATACCTCCCCCAAATGCCTAATCCCTATCTTAGATGAAAATTCAGTAACTTTCGAAGTCATAATGAATTGACGGAGCTCTGAGATACCATTTCTTGATCAAAGGATCAGACATCTATCATCTTGATCATCATTAAAATGTTTTCTTCCTCAAGTGCGGCCTCCACTGTCTTTCTGGAACATCTCACCCATCGCATGGCTCGAGGAGGCACCTTGCAAAGGTCCCCGAATCCACAGTTCCCCTGAGCTCCGATGTCTCGCATTCCACTTTACGGCACAAATACAGCCGGTGTCCCAATGAACAAACCTGAACGTGCCCACCTGAGCTCATCTCTCTGCCCTCACCCCCTCCTGCGGCACTGCCAGGCAGGCTGACCTCCACCCGTCCCTGTGCCCAGCAGGGCCAGCAACAACTCTGCTGAGCAAGTGAAGTGCAAAGTCTTTCATGCAGGCAGCAATGAAAAAAAAATGTGAATTAAATATGTAATTAAAAAATATAATGACAATGAGCTACTAAAGACCTCTAAGAACTTGCATGTCAAATGTTCTTTTCACAGGTAACTAACTTAAGTGTAGAGTGTTTGGGGCACTGGGAAACAGTGCCTCAGAGGTATCTCTTCAAAGGGAACCTCCTCGATGCGCCATTTCACTGAGTCACACCAGTGACAGCTGTTTCTTGTGCACGTCACACATCTGCAAAGCGCTCTCCTGGCGGCACAGCAGCGAGGAGACCGCAGAGGTCCCTGGCGTGGGCACATGAGCATCCAGCAAAGGCGACTGTCCGCAGCTGGGAACGAGACAAACGGGCTGCTGAGTACATGCAGGGCTTAGCGCAGGGCAGCGAAGCTGGAACACAGCAACCACTGCAAGAGGGGCTCCGGGGAGCCCACCCGACACAAGGAGCCTCTCAGCAAACACATAATGCAGTGATGGCCTCGTGATCAAGAGATAAAACCAACCACTGTAGCGCTTACCAAGAGCCGTCCAGCATCTCAGAAATGACCATTAGCTCCTCTCTTCTTGTTCAGAGGTTTAGTCCCAGATGGTCCTGTCCCCTTTAACCTCCCGAATCTTTTGTTTTCCAAGAGAACGTTTCTTTCCATCTTCAAATAAGTACTCTCTTCTGTTCCTTTTTTTTTTTATCCTCACCCGAGGACATTTTTCCATTTTTTGTTCAGGTAGAGTGGGAGGGAGAGAGAGGAACAGAAAGAGAGAGAAACATCGATGTGAAAGGAACACATCGAGTGGCTGCCACCTGCACAACCGACCAGGGCCGGGGACAAACTGCAACCGAGGTACGTGCCCTTAGCGGGAACCGAACCCGAGTCTCTCAGGACCGCAGGCCAACGCTCTAACCGCTGAGCCAAACCGGCCAGGGCTGTTCCTTTTGATTTTTATTGCATTCATTGCAATGACTGATTAATAAAATTATGTAGGTTTCAGGTGTGCCTTTATCTCTTCTACCTCCTCCCACCCCCTTCCTCTCTGATCACCATACTGTTGTCTGTGTCTATGAGGTTTGTTTTGTTTTTGGCTTAATCCCTTAATTTTTTCACCCGGACCCTCAATCCTTTTCTCCTCTAACAGTTGTCAGTCTATTTTCTGTATATGCATCTGTTTCTATTTTGTTTGTTCATTAGATCCCACATGTTAAGTCAAATCATATGGTTTTTGTCTTTCTCTGGCTTCTTTTACTTAGCATAATACTCTCCAGGTCCACCCATGCTGTTGCAAAGGATAAGAGTTCCTTCTTTTGTACAGCTCTGTAGTATTCCATTGTGTAGATATACCACAGCTTTTTTTTATCCACTCATCTACTGATGGACACTTGAGCTACTTCCAAATCTTGGCTATTGTAAATAACACTGTAATGATCATAAGGGTGCATATATTCCATCAAATCAGTGTTTTGGGTTTCTTTGGATACACACTCAGAAGCAGAATCGCTGGGTCATAAGGCAGTTCCATTTTTAATACTTTATTTATTATTATTATTTTTTTAAATCTTCACCTGTGGATATTTTTCCATCCATCTTCAGATGGAATGGAAGGGAGAGAGAGAGAAACCTCGATGTGAGAGAGACACATGGATTAGTTGTCTCCCGCACCACCCCAACCAGGGCCAGGGACTGAACCGCAACTGAGGTATGTGTACTTGACCAGAATCCAACCCGTGACTCTTTGGTCTGCAGGCAACAGTCTAACCACAGAGCCAATCCAGCTAGGGCTCATTTTTAATAGTTTGAGGAAACTCCACACTATCTTCCCAGTGGCTGCACCAGTCTGTATTCTCACCAACAGTGCACAAGTGTTCCTTGTTCTCCACATCCTCACCAATACTTGTTTGTTGATTTACTGATGATAGCCATTCTGACAGGTGTGAAATGATATCTCACTGTGGTTTAAATTTGCATTTCTGTGTATGATGAGTGATGTTAAGCATCTTTATATATGTCGACTGGCCAATTGTATGTCCTCTTTGGAGAAGTGTCTATTCAGGTCCTCTGTCCACTTTAATTTGATTTTTTGTTTTTTTTAGCATTGGGTTGTCTAAGTTCTTTATAAATTCTGGATAGTAACCCCTTATCAGATGTATCACTGGTAGGTGTTCTCCCATTCAATGAACTGCCTTTTTATTTTGTTGATGGTTTCCTTTGCCATGCAAAAACTCTTTAGTTTGATGTAGTCACATTTGTTTAATTTTTCTTTTGTTTCCTTTACCCGAGGAGACATATCAAAAAAAAATATTGCTATGAGAAATACCTGAGATTTAATGCCTAAGATTTCTTTTAGAATTTTTATGGTTTCAAGCCTAACATTTAAATCTTTAATCAATCTTAAATTTATTCTTGGGTGCAGTGTAAGAAGGTGGTCTAATATCATTTTTTTGCAAACATCTGTCCAATTTTCCCAACACCATTTATTGAAGAGACTGTCTTTACCCCATTGTATGTTCTTGCCTCCTTTTTCAAGTATTAAGTGACCATAAAGGTGTGGGTTTATTTCTGGGCTCCCTATTCTGTTCCATTGAACTATATGTCTATTTTTATGTCAATACCAGGCTGTTTTGATTACAATGGACCCATAGTATAGTTTGACATCAGGTAGTGTGATTCCTCCAAATTTGTTCTTCATTCTCAATATTGCTGGGCTATTCGGGGTCTTTTGTGGAACATACACCTACTAAAGTCTTATTCTGCTTCACTCTTCTATGATCTGCCTTTTTGTCACTCTTACATTTCCAGAAATAGAATCAATCAAAAGAAAAAGAAGACAATAATAAAACAGCGCAATATCTATTGTTTCATTGGAGGAACATTGCCCAACTAAATGAAAGGAAATTATCTGTAACCATCCTGAGGCCCCAGGGGAAATACACAGACACGGACACATACACACAGGATCTTAGTTCTCCTGACTTAGCTGTGGCTACGTAAACATGCAGGTTAGGTCCCATGGGCTGGACCAAGGGCAGTGCAGGGCTGTGATGCTCAAGACAGAATTCCTCCTTAGTAACTTGGAGGCCAATTTCTCTGTCTATGAAGCCAAGGGATGTAATTACTAAGGCATGTTTTAAGCTGTTTTCAGTAAATTATCACCTTCATGCCATTCATACTCATTTGAAATGGTCATTAGCTATGAAAGAATAATAGTAAGTAATGTGTACTATTAATAACAATAATGACTGACCTCTCTGGAGTACTGAATTAGCACTTTTACACATCAGTGCACTCGGTCCTTGGAATAACCTTCTTAGAATTTCATCATCCTCATCTGACAGATGACAAAACTGACATTCGGATGGGCCGAATCACACATGTGCTCACATGTCAGGCAGCAGTACAGGATTCAAACTCAGGTCTGTTTGACTCCACAGCCTGTGCTTCTAACTGCTGTGCTGCCTTTTATAATTGACAGGCTAGAGCTGCAAGCTTTATAAAAGATAAAGACACTAACACACCTGTGCACGTGCACACACACACACACACACACACACACACCATGAACATCCTCTTTTGTAACTCCTGAAAAGTATTTTCTTCATCACAAACAACTGAAGAAAAAAACAAAACAATAAATTATCTTGTTTCCGGGTAATCGCAAACATCAGATACTATTAAGCAAATTTTCCAATGTTTACTGAAACAAGTCAGACATAGGAGCCTCCAATCACACAGGTACCTGGTTTTTCAAAGGCCCAAGGAAGCCTAGATTTTCTGCCATCCGCTGAGCTTGGCTGTCCTTTATCCCTTCAATAATGTCAATTTGCTCCTGGTAGAAAAATGAATCAAATAAACAAAATTCAGACAGTCAAGCAAGAAGACAACCACAAAAGAAAGTGCTTTATATTTACTTGCAAATGAGTAATGAAAGTGAGGCACCTTTCCAGAGATCTCTGAGGAGAGGTATTGCCTATGGGGTACGTTTTATTTGTTTTTCCATCCTCATTCGAAGATATTATTTCCTCTGATTTTTAGAGAGAGCGGAAGGGAGGGAGGAAGATAAAGAGAGATAGGGATGCGGTCCAACCAACTGAGCCACACCGGCCAGGGCAGGAATGACCTGTTTTGAATCATAACGGCTAGGTAGTACAGATAGCCCCTCTTTTCAAAAGCTCATTTTGCCACTTTGCTTTTACCTGTTTTTGTTAACTAAAAAAAATCTAAAGAGAATTTTTGCTGTTACAAAAAAAGAGCTGAAAGTGGGACGAGAGCTCTGCGCTTGTTCTGCAGCAGCTGGTGGCGAGGCTGAGCCCGGGCAGTGGGGCCCTGCCCATCCTTCCTCGCGGGAGCATGCTCAGCACGGCCTCACGGCTATGCCGCGACTCTGCGCTCCTGGGCTCTTCGCATCTGCTACACGCTGTGTCCTATGGTGAAAGCGCCTCGATTTTCGTCATTTTGGCTTACAAAAGGTTTCACAAGGGAGCTCTACTTTTGAATAACAGGGAAAACCTGCATTAGTAAGTCAGCTGCAGAGTCGCAACTTAACTTCCAGGGCAGATGCACACGTGACGCGGGCAGACCAGCCGCCACAGTGCCCGCCTTTCCAGAGGGCCGAGAAACAGACTCCCAATAAAATCAGGAGTATTTCTGCTAGAAATCTCCAATGTTATACTTTTGATACTAAAAACCCAGAATTAAAAACTGGAATTATAGTTCAGAAGGTCTTAGATTTTTTTAACACTACAGCTCAGGTAGGTTGAGAAGCACATGTCACCTCATTTAATTCTCACATTCATTTCACGATTCAAAAATAAAGCTTAGAGACATTGGGGAACTCGCTGGGTAGTAAGGCTTTGACCTCAGATATCTTCAGCTAGAAACTAATCTTAATATCAATAAAAGAAAAATGTTTAAAGGCTTGAAAGAAACAAAGACTCAGGACCTTAGAAGGGTGCTAGTTGACATCGATAGTGTTGAAAGACATAGAGACAATCTCTAGCTCACATCTGGTCACCTTGGAGATTTTCTAGATCATAATACTGTTAAATGGGCAAAGTTAACCAAGAGGAAATGGAAATGTCAGTCTGCTTCCATTCTTTAATTCTTGGAGCAGGCTGATAGAAAGGAACGAGGGAGGAAGAAAAGGCAGGAAGGAGGAAAGAAGGAAGGGAGGGCAGAGAAAAGCAAAGAAAAAGACCTCGAATAGTGAATATCTCCATTCTATCCAACTTTCAACTGGATGACTATGAAGAAAAAGGACTAGACATCTTCAAGCCTTAAGTCCCAGAAAGAGATGTGTCACTACCAGCCTCAGACTCCACATTAAATGTTTTTCAGCTTCTACAACAACCATGGACGAACACAGAATAGCCAGAAATCTAAACATACCTTAAATATAAGTTCTGGATTTGAAGCGGCCACCTCCTCAATGTCAACGCCCCCCTGGGGGCTGCCCACCAGTACGGGGCCATTGCAGGACCGGTCCATCAGAATCGCAAAGTAGGTCTCCCTGGAAATGTCCAAGGCTTCGGCAACCATCACCTACCACGGTAACAGGAAAGTCAAATGAATTCAGCATCACACTGATTCCACTTGGAAATCTATACAAACTTGCTACACAAACGCAACGGCTTCACTTTCAGGCCCTTGAAGCCCAGTATGTTAACTTCCCTGGATTCACGAGCTCTGCTCTCGGGGTGCATCAAGCTCATTTCCCTCCTTAACTGACCCTGCTAATGTGTTCAGTGGCAAGTATTGGTTGACATCAAGGAAACTTCCCACTTCAATTTTCTTTTTCTTCTGTGAGAAACCCTGACACTTAAGAAAAACTCCAGAGAAGCAGCTGCTATTTTAATTTGAGACATTTACAGTACATATATATTACCACACTGATTTTCTCAACTTGCTCTGGTGCAAAACCAAATCTGGTTGCCAAAGGATTCTTTTTAGTGTGTCTGATGCTTCATATGTTTGTACACTTCTGTCCCTTGGTTCACTGTACTTGTATTTCAATTTTTACTTTCTTTTAAATGATAAATATATCTGCTTGTTCAAAATGAATGCAAAGGACAGTGGAAGTAAATGAACAAGACAATGGAAGCTGCTCTCCCCGGGGCCCCAACACCAGCATGTGCCGAGACCACATGGAACCTTGTGGTCCTTACAGAAGCTGCCCCTTGCTCTGGGAGGATGTGGTCACATGCCAGGACCGTGGCTGGGCAGGGGGCAAGTGGGCTGGGAAGATGCACTTCAGCCGCGCATGCTGGGCTCTGCTCAACCCTAACAACTTTACGCAGCAGCCAGAGAAGGACAAGTCACTGCCAGCTGCTTAGTCCTTTTTCTATGCAGCTGAAATGTAGTATGTACTTGAATTCCTTCCTTTCTTCTTGCTTTTAATCTTAATACCACAACTTAGTCATCTTTCCAAGGTCCTCTCTCTTCATTGTGACTAGGTACTTATATGTCAATATTTATTTAACCCTGTCCCTCCTGAGAGATATTTATAAGGGCTTCAGTTTTTCTAAAGTCCTACTTCAGTGAGTATTTTTGTAATATATCTTTGCTTATTTGTTTGAGTACCCCTGTAGATAAGGTACCTGAAAGTAAAATGACTAGTTGCTAGAATCGTCATTTTAAAAATTCTAAATACTCTTAAAATACCCTGGAGAGGGAGGGTGTACCAACTTATAGACCCAAAAAGAATGGTAAGCCCTGGCTGGTTTGGCTCAGGGGTTAGAGCACTGGCCTGTGGACCAAAATGGTCTTGGGTTTGATTCCCAGTCAAGGGCATGTACCTTGGGTTGCAAGTTTGATCCCCAGCTCTGGTTGGAGTCAATAGGAAGCAACCAATTGGTGTGTCTCTCTCACATCGATGTTTCTCTCTCTCTCCCTCCCTCCCTTCCACTCTATCAAAAAAAGTCAATGGAAAAATATCCTTGGGTGAGGATTAACAAAAAAGAATGGTAAAAGATGTCTTGAATGATTTGTAAAAGAAAATAAAAACTTTAATTAAGTAATCAGTACTAGAAGTGAAAATAATAAACATACTTACATTTCTTTTCCTAAAAGTACTTCAATAACAGGTTTCACGAAGAAAACTATAGATTAAGTAGCATTAGATTCTAGATACCCAGATGCCAAAAAACCCCTAAGTTTTAAGTCAGTTGGAATGTGACAAATACAGAGTAGGGCAAAAGTAGGTGTACAACTGTTCATATGGAAAATAATACAATAATCAATAAATAATAATGCAAGAGTTTAAACTCTATGTTTCTGAAAGCTACTTTTGCCCTACCCGGTTTAGGATGATCTAAAAAGCTACAATGTAATGAATATAGAATTCCTTCTCCAACTTTTATGGAATTTATCACTGGTTAAAAATAAAATATCTACAAGGGGCTTCATATTGATTCTTTGGTAGTAACTTATAAATATGTAAAAAAATAGTTCTTGGCATACAGTGCTGGGATTATTTAGAACCATTTTGATTAAAAGTTGACTTCTAATGCAGAGCTTGTCTATGAAGGAGACTTAATGACTTATAGGAGTTTCTACAAGCAACACAACATTCTAACTTTCTAGGACAACTGTCATTCGAGAGCCGTGTGTTCAGGCCCCTGCAATGCTGGCAGATGTGCTTGGATCCTGCCAAGCCTCTATTTCTACAGGCCAGCTGCTCTCTCAAACAGCTCCGGCCTGGCAGAAGTAACATATTACTCTTTGAGAAGACATCCCCAGGAAAATGATGATTATCAATAGGTAATTCAAGAAATTTTATATAAAGGCTATTTTTTTTTTTGCATTATTATGCCATCCTACCACCCAGGATGTCAGAATATTTTAGGAATTGTTACAGAGAGAACGGGAATGGGCTCCACGAACACTCATCCCATGAGAAGCTCAGTCAGATACACTTCAGAGAAGCTCCATCTGAAACTGACACCAATGTCACCAACGCAGCCTCTCTGTGCTGTCCCCCAGACAGAAAGCTCTGTAACTCACATGACCCTGATTTGACCACTGGACTGGTTTTGGTTTGTGGCTCAGACAGAGGCCTGCTCAGTGCCAATGCACAGACTCCTGGGAACCAGCAGTGATCAGGTAAGGTGACAAGTATATAATCAGTGTTTGAACATCTCTGATCTCAGCACAGTGCCCACTCCTGTCCCCGCATCACGAAGCACATGAGCAGCATCTCCCCACTGCTACACTGTCCCACGGAGCATACAGCTAACACAGTGGCTCGGCTGTAGAAAAAACACCCACTGAGTATAGATGTATGTACTGTCAAATAACTTCTGAAACTGACTGAGAAATCTAAACCTTCTGTAATCTGGGGACTCCTGATTGATGTCCAAGGTTCTATACGTCAAAAGAAAATGCATATTCCTTAAAGTCTATAAAATATTATTATAGAAAAGTGGTAATACACACTTTATACAGAAAAAGAATAAAATAATGTATGACAATTATTTCTGGGTGGAGAGAATACAAGGAACTTTTACTTCTAATTTTTACATTTCTGTATTACTGGAATTTTTACATGAGTTAATCACTTTGCAATCAGAAAGAAAAAACCAAAACTATTTAAAAATAAATCTCTGTAGCAGTTTCCTGGCAATGACTAGATTTATAAGAATGCACTTATCGCCAGTATTTCAGGAACCTTTCTACAAACTAATTTTATGCTCATCTATATAGTATGACTCTTCTTTGTGTATTTTTATATGCTTTAAAAAAGTACCACAAGCTCTAATCTAAAAACCCATGTGTTCATAAAAAACAACAACAAAAAAAAACCCAAATTCTTACAAACAAAAATACTAATCATGTCCTGTGTGTACAAAGTTTGAAGCAGTCACCCAGGTAAAGGCGCATAAGCTAATACTACAACCTGCTCTCAGCGCCGCACTGGCCCAGAATGACAGCAGTTGCAAAGGCAGGCCCAGGGGCACTGACAAAACAGGCACAGCAGCACCTGATATGCACACTTGAGGCTGGACTGTAGGACAGCAGGGACGTCCCTCACTGGCAAGGCAGCTGTTGCTTTGAAAAAAACATGCCTATGTTCTGAAAGAGAAAGCTATTACTTCACTCACTCACCCCTACACACCTTTACTATATGCTGAGAATAATCAATAATGTTGCTATTATATACTTTGTACTTCTCCTCAAATTCATATCACATACTAAACAGATTACATGAGGTTTAAAATAAAATGGTGCATCGCCAAAGTGCATTAGATTCTGCCAGAACTGAAGTATAGACTTTTTTTTAACGCATACATTGAAAATGACCAGAAGCATTAATATTACCTTGTTAACTTTCACACCTTCTTTTGGAGTTTGTTTCGTGGCTAGATTATACCCAATCATCTGTTTAGCCAACTGTCCCACAACTTTAGGGCTAAGAAAGATAGAGAGAGAAAGGAAAGAAAATCAACCTCTATTTTGAAAATCATTTGAAAGCAGAGTCTATACCAAATCCTCATGTCCACACTGCATAGGATACACCTCCATGCCTGGAATCCATGGACTTTCTGGGAGGGACGGAAGGAGGGAAGGAGGGAAGGACGGAAGGAGGGAAGGAAGGAGAAAGAAGAGGCTGAAGTGACCCTGGCTCAGAGGTTAGAGCGTTGGCCCTCAGACCAAAGAGTTGCAAGGTCGATTCCGGTCACCAGCAAGCTCTTCCATGCCTGCTGGGCCCACAGACAAGGAATGAAAACGTCCAGACTTACTCCTTTGTTACATGAACACCTCCTTTCAAACCGCTACTGAAGGGCACGTACCTCGGGTGCAGTTCGGTCCTTGGCCCTGATCAGGGTTGTGCGGGAGGCAACCAATCAATGGGTCTCTCTCACATTGATCTCTCTCTCTCTCTCTCTCTCTCTCCCTCCAACTCTGTCTGAAAATAAGTGGACAAATATCCTTGGTGAGGATTTTTAAAAAGAAAAGGCTGAAATGCACAACAGGTTTAGGTAAGTTAAAGATGAGGGTAAGAGCCCTGGTCAGTTTTGCTCAGCGGTTAGAGCATCGGCCCACGGACCAGAGAGTCCCGGGTTTGGTCCCCGTCAGGGGCAGGTACCTCGGTTGGGGTTTGTCCCTGACCTTGGTTGGGGTCGTGTGGGTGGCAACTGTTGATGTGTCTCTTTCACATCGATGTTTCTCTCTCTTTCTCCCTCTCTCCCTCCCATTCTATCTAAAGATAAATACAAAAAAAAAAAAATGTCCTCGGGTGAGGATAGGAAAAAAAAAGATGAGGCTAAGAATCACAATAAAAAATGAAAGGTACATGACAGGAGAGGCAAGTGTTCAGTACTGGGGGACTTGGAGCTAGAGCTGAACAGAGAGGCTCAGATCAAGGAAGACCTGGACTGTGTCACACAGGAGACACTGATGTCGCTGGCAATGGGGAGCCACGGCAGGTTCCTGAGTGGGAGAGTGACTTCATGGAAGCAGTACTTAATTTATAAGTGGCATCATTTCCAACATTTGGATAGAAAAACTGATTGTCTAGGAGAGAAGAGTGTCAAACTTCACCAGTTAGTGAAGAAGAAGCCCTTTGTGGGCACAGAAGGAGCACTGGGCGCTGCCAGTGTCTGCCTCTAACCGGTCCCCCCTTTCTGGCGCAGGCACCTACCCTCCCCCACCTTGGGTCAGTGCACCTTTTAACACCAGCAAGCTCTTCCATGCCTGCTGGGCCTACAGCCAAGGAGTGAAAACGTCCAGACTTACTCTTTTGTTAAATGAACGCCTCCTTTCAAACCGCTACTGAAGATACCTTTTCCTCTTCCTCCAGCTAAGATCTGGGCTTTTAATACAATTTCTTTTGCATCTGAAAAAGAAAATTTAGAGTGGGCAGTTGATCTGAAAGTATTTTTTAAGCAGCAATGAAAATGGTAATGACATACAACTTCCCAACCTGGTGGAAGCTCTCGACAGCCAGTCTGAAAATGAGGCAATGAAGAACTTCAAAAACACCAGTGTGCCTAAATATAGTCTGTTTATTGAGGACATCTAAATATTTCCTACTGCCCGGCCGGTGTGGCTCAGTGGTTGAGTGTCGAACCACGCACCAGGAAGTCACCAGTTCAATTTCTGGTCAGGGCACATGCCCAGGTTGTGGGCCCGATCCCCAGTGGGGGGCATGCACGAGGTGGCCAGTCAATGTTCTCTCTCATGGATGTTCCCGAGGACATTTTTTTTTTTTGCATTTATCTCTCTCCCTCTCCCTCTAAAAATCAATAAAGAAAAAAAATTAATAAAATAATAATACATACTTCCTATGAGTTTAATCTGATGCTGGACCATCCCAAGGGAAAGCAAGGCATGTGTTCCCTTGTTCTTTTGAGTGTCAGAGATGCTAAATAAACCCAGGCTGGAGGTATTAATTTTACTGGGTACTGACACTCCCCTGTGGCAGAGGCACCAATCTGCCAGTCAGAGAAGCTAACGACCTGTCAGTCATCTGAGACGTGTCAAAGGGAGACAGGATTATAAAAGGAAAGGTTCAAAGATAAAATGCAAAGGGAGTATGTAATAACTATTCTTGGAAACCAACAGTTTTCTGGGCAGTTGCTCTATATATTGACAGGGTTGGGTAAGGGAGGAGGAAATGGATTAAATAAAAAAGCAAGCAATATTTTTAAAATTTTGGCAGGGTTAACAAAACATCCCAGGGAAAGTGGTTGAGGAAGCTTCGTTTCGCACTCAAGAAAAGAGTGAACTACCTATTCTCAACATCTGAGACCAGAGTCATAAACTCAGACGTCTTATGGGCCAGGCAGAACATGGGGGTGTGGAAGCAGCCCAGTGATGGAGACGGGGCTGGCAAACAGTGGAGCTCCCCCCCAAGCGTCGAGGAGAAGGAAAAAGGGCAGTCCCCAGGTCAGATATGTTGGGTCAACCAAACGGTGCCCATCTCCAGGCCACCACAGGCGTCGTCTGTGTTCACGTCTGTCTAAAATCAGAGAACTGAGTCTGACAATGTTTTCTGGCTTGGCATACCAGGTTTAGAATCTGCAGACCCAAGTTTCAATGCAGCCTTCATGCCTTACTCACCTGTGTGAAATTGGCCAAGTTACTCGGTATCTCTGAGACTCAGTTTACTTGATTGTGAAATGATGATGAAGATTGTTTTAAGAATTAAATGAAATAATACATGTGACTACTTTATCCCAAGAACCTAAAAACTCATATGATTAATGAAAACTGTTGCCACAATCAATTAGTCCATTTAGTGCCTTTGTATAGTGTAAAAATTCAAACGAATTATTCCCACTTGGGCAGAGATGATAGAAAGCAAATGCTGGTGTGTGGCACCACTCATGCAAAGTGAGAGCTCCGTAGGAGTCGCTCTTCCAGCTATTCCTGTTGACTTGTTACTCACAGGCAAGCAAGCCAAGGTTCCCACAGAGGGAGCCACAGAGGGCTTCATCCTGGAGGCAACAGGAGCTACAGAAGCAGCTGATGCTCCACCTGATGCAGTGAGATTATTCAAGTTCGCTGCCTCTACTTGGTCTTCCTTTCTCCTATATTTGCTTACACTCAGAAAGCCAGGGCTCACCTTCTCTCAAAAGCAAACATAGCTCTTTCTTTGCTGCCCTCTGTACCCTCTGACAACTAGGTCTGCCCTGGAAATGAACCACCACACCACCAGTCAAATCATGTTTTAGAATAAACTGGTTCCCACCAAACAATAGAAGACAAGCTAAGACTACCACTTACGATCAGAAACTCACCAGGGAAGGAAACAAGGAAAAACAATGTATCGCCTGTTTATGCTAAGTAATGTAAAAGAATAGCAATATGAGCTATTTGGTTTGGAATTACACAGACCCAGACCCCCGTGACATCTGCCAGCTCTGCCTCTCATTTCCTTTGTAGAGAAGAGGAGACAGGATCAGAAAGGCAACAGTAGCCCGTCTGCAAAATGGTCATAATAATGTATGTGTTAGGATGTCAAAAAATAAATGAAATATACTAGGTGAGGTGCTTACCTCAACACCTGGCACATTAAAAAAACAGCCAAAATATGATATCTATCATCCTTATAATTATTTTCAGCAATTAACCCAAAGACTGGTATATAGGAAGATATTTCTTTTGGAGACATCAAGTAGAAAAAACACTTTCTGGTGTCTACTCAGATTTTTCACTGTGATCTCTCCAAACTGGCTGGAAAGGTCACTGAGCGTGCCATGCCACCCGTACTTCTCACTCCCTCGCCATCCAGAAGAAGGTGTGTTCCTCGCCACGCGTTCCCACAGAAAAATGTGCAGGCCGGACAGAGCCACGTGGGCCTGTTCATGGGCCCTCCTCAGGCCTGAGCAGGTCAGCGTGAGGCACGAACCATCAGGACGAGGAAACCACTGCAGCCTCAATGAAGTGTTTGTCAATAACGTGTGCTGCCGTTTAACCCCATGTCCAAGGACTCCATGTCACCCCATCCGGCAGTCCAGGCAACCGCTTCAAACACTGTGAAGCTGAATGTTCAGTCAGGCAAATAGAAAAAGGCAGAGGAAAAGATCCAGGTACATTGTCTGCAACTTATACCCCAGGCCAAAAATAAGTTCACTTCAACCACGTCTTCCGGTCAGATCTCAAGGACAAAATCAGTCCAGCAGGTCAGTGGCCCAGAGTAAAGCAAGTTTTTCTCACCTTGGGGGAAACTCATACAAAGCAATTTGATTCATGTGGTTATTTACTCAAAGTTGTGAAAATTAGGCAAAGTGAAGAAATCCTGCTGAACAGTAACTAGTCTTCTTAGTATTTATTTACCAGGTTGATTCACACTTAACATCATTATTTCTACTTTATTTAAAGATTTGATTTCTCCAAACTCACACAAATTTCTAGGTTTCTTTTTATTACCTCTGTATTCCCAAACAGAATTATAAAAGAATATTCCATATATGAAATTCAATTTTTTCCTGAAGGCGTAAGATGGCTTAAGCCTACGCTAGGATAACAAGGCCGAAAGAGCCCGGGGGAAAACCAGCTGCTCTAATAGGCTTTGTATGGATACAGGCTGCACTTATCCCTACACTGCTCAGCATACCACTGGGCTCTGGGCAGGCATCACCCGGGGCTGCGTGCCCCGTCCTTCCTGTTTACCTCTCAGATGCAGGGGCCGGCGAGCCAGCACGCCTTCCACCGTGTCCTTACCTGGAGCGGCTCTGACACACAGCCAGGCGCTGCTGAGGCGGGGACTGTGTACTCTCACAGATGTTTTAGGAGAAAAAGCACTGTAAGAAGTATCTTTGATAAACTTACAGATAGATATCAAAGACTCTGAAATACCAAGTCAGTTAAGAGAACAATATTTACAGCCATTTAGAAAGTCTAAAAACACCCCAAACCAGTCTCATTTAGCTCTATTAGTTGCATTAAAATAATGCTTTGTCAAATGTTTTCTCTCATTTTTTTTACCACAAGTGTTGTTTTAATGACAATAATACAGCTTTATAGCAATTTTTATACTCTGCCAATAGTTCCATGCTGGCTAATAAATGTTCTTAGAAGCATTATCAAACCTAGAAAGAAAAAAATTAAATTCATTAAGGAAATCATAACCCAAATAGAGTAAGAAATGCCTTTAACTAGGCAGGCTCACTCTGCTGTTTCAAGACGGCATTCTGACAACATTTTTATGCATAATATTGTTCACAAGACATAGTTTGAAACCACAATACAAAAGTGCAGTGGTAAATGTCTGAAAATAATGCATATTTATCAAGAATACCGGTAAACACAAGTTATTTTCAACCCTCTTTTTAAAACAGTTTTGTGAAGAATCGAGTATTTGTATTACAGAACTGGTTTTTATTCAGCATTGCTCTCTTCAGAAATATAACACTTCCCTAAATGCAAAATGCAGCACTATTTACACTGACTGCGGTGAGGTGACTACTGTGATGATCATCTATTTCGAGTCAATAACAGCAGAATTGTTGGGCAACTATGATTTCTATGGTTCACGAATTGCAGCAAAATTGGAATATCCAGTTTTCAGCACGATTGCATGGTATAATTTCTAGCATGGTGATCACCTTTCACAAGGTTTGATAGAATTCTTAATTGAAAAAGTTAAAATGTACTTACCTATCACTGCAAGGCAAGAAGAAGGGGAGGGTGAACCAAGAATCGAAAGCCATCACAGAAAGATGAACATTCATAAAGAAGATACAGTTACAGAGTGATAAGTCAGAAGTCTAAACACCAATTTCCCAAGGAAAATAAGCTAACTTCTGTGTTTTCATTATGACCCGAGAACCCAAACTTAAAACTCTTCAATTGTTACTGTAATATCTCCTGTAGACCGGTTCCGGGCTCCGCCGGTCGTAACTACCTCCCTGGGAATGAGATGATGTTGCAGTGGTCTTCCATATGCCCAATAGCATATCTGAGACTAAAACAATGAACTCAACTCTCAACATGTCCGACATGGGCTCATCAATGTTGGCACAGAGAATTCCAACATACAGAATGTGAAAAAGATGGTGGCAGCACTGGCCACGTGCCTGACCGAAGCGGACCGGAGAACCCTGGCTGCTGCCCACCATAGTTTACACTGCACACACCCAACACAGTGATGTGCAAATATCAACAAGAGATGGAACTAGGGCGACCTCGAGGTCAGGGGTTTTGTGATACAAACAGGACGCTGTCCAGGGAGACATGATTTCACATTAAGTTACTGATAAGACTTTTCATTAGTTTTAAATCTTAAATTTCCTATTAAATATGGTAGACAATTAATTCCATATGAAAATGCCACTTTGAACAGTTTATTGATTATAAAGAAGATGATAATATTACCTTAATACAAAACAT